TGGTGGGTTTGAACTGCCAGCCTTCTGGTTAGCAGTCAAGTGCCTTAGGCACTATGCTACCAGAGCTCCTCCAGTGCTCCTTAATAAGATTAATAAAAGCATTTATTTCATTTTATTTTGTTATGTATTTTAAGTAAAATAGGGGAAATAATAGTAGCTACCCCATAGAGTTGTTGTGAGGATGAAGAATTAATATATGCACAGTGCTTAGAACAGTGCCTGGCACACTGCATTAAAAAAAATCTTTTTATTTGGAAATTTAAAAGCATGCATGAAGTAGATTGATCCTCCACATACCAAAAACCGAACTTCAACAATTATCCACATCTTGTACGTCATTTTTCACCTGTTCCTTTCTATTTGGGGGTAGGGAATACTTTAAAGTAAATCCCTGATACATCCTTGTACTTACAAATAACCAGTATGAGTCTCTGAGAAGGGCATTTTTTTAACAACCACAATACCCTCATTATGTCTAATTATTATGCAAAATTAACAGTTATCCCTTAATAGTCCATAATAACTTTTTCCTAATTCTCAAAAATACCTTTTTGTTAGCGGCTCCAGTGTAGTCTGGCAGTTCCTCTAAACATTAAGCATAGAATTGCCACATGTCTCAGCAATCCCACCCCTAGGTATAGACCCAAAGCACTGAGATCAACAAGAACTGCATTTTGCTGAAAAGATTTATTGTGATTCCGCTGCTTTAAATACTGATTAACTTCTTAAACTACCTTTCCCAGTCTCCCCCGTTCTCCTCAATGGCTCCAAACTCTACGTTCATCTTTGATTCTTTCTTCTTTTTCTATTGCATCCAATTAGGCACCTAATCCTCTTCATTCTTCTTTGACAACATTTCTCTCTGTTCCCTCTGCTGCTTCCCTCTTCTGTCCCGTGGGTCCAGATGACTGTAATAATACCCTAATAGATTTCCTATCTCTCCCTTTCTAATCTGACTTCTACAACCAACACCCAGATAACTTTTCAAAGACATTATTTTCACCTTTTTTATCTCCTGCACAAAAAGTTACACTTAATGAAGAAGTGGAAGAACTAAGGAATTAAGCACATGCTATGCACCAAGCACTATGATAAGAACTGTACAGCTACCTTACTATCCTCATTTTATGAATAAAGAACCAAGGCTGTTCAGAGAGGTTTAGTTGTCTGCCCAGAATTCAATTCAGTTCTGTTTGGCTCCAAAGCCTGTGGTTCCAACGGCTATGCTCTTCCACCACACCCCACTGGTAAAAAAAAGTTTGAGCACATGTGTCCAATATATGCATGCTATATTTACATATACAGTATGGACATAGACTACTACATTGGTGTCTTATGAGAACCATGGAATATATGTTGTTGTTGTTGTTGTTGTTGTTAGGTGCCGTCGAGTCGGCTCTGACTCATAGTGACCCCGTGTACAACAGAACAAAACACACTGCCTGGTCTTGTGCCAGCCTCGCAATCCTTGCTGTGCCTGAGCCCATCATTGCAGCCACTGTATTAGTCCAGCTCATTGAGGGCCTTCTTCTTTTTCACTGACCCTCCACTTTACCAAGCATGGTAGCCTTCTCCAGGGAATGGTCCCTTCTTACAACATGACCTAAGTAGGTGGGATAAAGTCTGACCATTCTCACTTCCAAGGAGCATTCTGGCTGCACTTCTTTTTTTTTTTTTAATTTTTATTGTGATTTGAGTGACAGTTTACAGAGCAAATTCATTTACCATACAGCAGTTCACATAAACTTTGTCTCATGACATTGACTATAATTTCCCACAATGCAACAGCTCTCTCCCCACTTCCTCCCAATAGTTACCTCTTCCCTGTGTCCTTCCCCTCAATGCACTACAACCCCCTAAGCTGTCTCCCTGTCTGGCTGTACTTCTTTCAGAACAGATTTGTTCATTCTTCTGACAGTCCATGGTACTTTTGGTGTTCTCTGCCAACACCACAATTCAAAAGTGTCAACCCTTCTTCGGTCTTCCTTGTTCATTGTCCAACTCTAACATACATATGAGATGACTGAAAATACTATGGCTTGGGTTCGGCACACCTTAGTCTTTAAGGAGACATCTTTGCTCTGCAGCATTTGAAAGTGGTCTTTTGCAGCAGATTTGCCCAGTGCAATACGTTGTCTGATGTCTTGACCGCTCCTTCCATTGGTGTTGATTGTGGAGCTAAGTAATATGAAATCTTTAAGAACGTCAATCTTTTCTTAATTTATATCATGATGCTGCTTACTGGTCCAGTTGTGAGGATTTTCATTTTCTTTATATTGAGATGTAATCCATACTGCAGACTGAAGTCTTTAATCTTCATTAGTTAGTGCTTCAAGTCATCCTCACGTTCAGCAAGCAAAGTTGTGTTGTCTGCATATCGCAGGTTGTTAATATATACAGAATAAAAATTTTTAAAAAAGAATGACATTAAGACGAAGTGATGTTTCTGGAAATTTTTAAGTTTTACTAACTCTAGATTATTAATGTGAGGGAATATGCATTCATATTGCCAATAGTCTTGATCATTTAAAATGATTGTAGCCTAGTACTTGCTTAACTAGAGTAGCTCAGCCTGTGTTTCCACAGTAATGTGGCAGATAATGAGCTGGGCTAGGAGTTGCACAAGTTGTATCTTTGCCATTTTCCTGTTGTTTGCTTAGGCTTTTGTTACCAGGATTACCTTCTGTCCACGGTTTCTTTGTAGGACTCCTGTGAAGGCACTTGTCCATTTTGTGAGGACTGATTTCATTAAAACTAGGTAGTACATCTATATACCCAGCTAACTTAACCCAAAAACCCACTGCCGTTGAAGTGATTCCAAGTCCTAGCGACCCTTTAGGACAGAGTAGAATTGCCCCACAGGGTTTCCAAGGCTGTCAATCTCTATGAAACAGACTTCCACATCTTCCTACCACAGAGCAGCTGGTGGGTTCAAACTGCTGACCTTTTGGTTAGTAGTCGAGTGCTTTAACCACTACACCACTAGGGCTCCTTCCAGCTAAGTTGGCACAGGTAAAATGCTCCCCTCTCCAAAGCCTTCTAGACGCTGTAGGCTGAGTGAAGGCACCTATGTCAATCCAGATCTCTATTAGTAGACCTTCATTTCTTTCTGTCATAGATTGAAAAAAAAACATAAATAGGATTTCTGTTCTATTCTTTCTACTTCTCTGTGGCTCATCCTATGTACCCCTGGGGTGTGATCATTCTTTTTTTAAAAAAAATATTTATTGTGATTTGGGTGAAAGTTTACAGAGAACATTCACTTTCCATACAACAGTTCACATACATTTTGTCTCATGACATTGGCTGCAATTTCCCACAATGCAACAGCTCCCCTCCCGCTTCCTCCCCATAGTTACCTCTTCCTGTGTCCTTCTCTCCCATGCACTCCTGCCCCCTGAGCTGTCTCCCTGTGCATACACAGCCCTTCTGTTCTCCCATGATTGATCTCTCCAAGGAATGTGTCT